ATCATGCAGCAAGGTGGGGGGACTTCCAGGAAGTTCATTCCACCTCTGACGGGGCGGTGGTCCCAGCTCTGATGCAGTGCCCCATGCCTCCTAGCTCCTGACAAAGCTAGGTCACAGGGGGAGGCGGCCCAGGACCCAGAAGCGACCTGCAGGGCGCACTCGGGGAGAGAGCTGTCCCATCTCCGGCCCCTGGCTCCTTCCCATCTCCCCCGCCCTGCGCTGAGGTCTCCTCCCGTCACTCAGCCTTTTGCTAACTCCGCTGCTGCAGTCACCACTCGCCTCCTCACTGGGTCCTTCGACCTCCCAGTGCCAGCCCTCAGGCCCCGTCCCTGTCCCAGGACGCACCCGTTCTTCTCTGGGCTGAGAAGTCTCCATCTCTGCCGTTTCCTCCCTGCCCCGCCATCTAGGCTGCTGTCCAGGTCCCTCCTCTCCCAGCCGTCTGGGCCCTTGACCCCACAAGGCTGCAGTGCACACCCAGTCCCAGCAGCCAGTCTCCTCCTCCTCCCCACCCCGCCCCCACCCCGCAGGCTGTCTCCGTTGCTCAGGAGCATCCCCATCTGGCCCCGTGATGGCGGTGGCCCAGGTCATCTGTGAGTGTCAGATGTAGCATAGGCAGAGGCCTGCCACCAGATAAATGCCCAGCTCAGGGCCCCTTCCCTAGATCCTCCCAGCCTTCCTTCTGGGTCCTGAGGCCCTTCCTGGGGGAGACATGGCGCTGGCCCTCTGCCCCCACCTGGAGGGGCGTGGGAGCGTGGGACGAGAATGGGCTGAGACAGGGCCCCCCGCCAGTTCTCCCTCCCCTAGCCAAGCAGAGCCGCACCCACATGCTCGGGTCTCTGAGGTGGGGACGGGGCACCCGGGACACCCTTGGCCGTTTGCGGTGGCTGCCACCGCTGCCCCCCCGCCACCTGCGACCTGTGCCCTTTCCGCCCCCAGGTTCTCAGCTCCCGTGCTTCCACGGCTCCAGCACCATCCGCAACCTCAAGGAGAGGTTCCACATGAGCATGACCGAGGAGCAGCTGCAGCTGCTGGTGGAGCAGATGGTGGACGGCAGCATGCGCTCCATCACCACCAAGCTCTACGACGGCTTCCAGTACCTCACCAACGGCATCATGTGACGCGCTCCTTCTCGGGCCCCTGGTCGGAGAGACCCCCACCCGCCCGTCCACCCGAGGGAAACGGAAGGCAAGAAGTGCCCAGGATCGTGTGGTGACTGTAGAGCTTGCGGGGTGGGAGAGTCAGGCGCGGGGCACTCGCTGGGGTGCCACATCCCCACCCGACAGACCCCAGGACTCGCTGCCCTCCAGAGCAGGATAAATGCGAGGCCACTGGGCCTTCCTCCGTTGCAAGGTCTGAGAGGTCCCTCCCATCGCCTGTTCTGAGTCCCGGGCCGGGTAAGGGGGGTGTGGGTTCTCGGTACTTAGGACTTGACCCTGTGGTTCGCCTGTGGCCATGCTGCTGCCCGACGCCCCCTCCCGGGGACTGACTCCTGGCCTGAGGCCCCTCGGTGGGTGGGCTCTGGCATGGCTCCTGCACTTGCCGAGCTGCCCTGGCACAGTGGCCAGGAAGGGAGGTGTCACAGCCCTCCATATGTGAGGGGACCGGCTGAGCCACGGGGAATTCCTAGCCCTGATCCCGTCCCCCACACCCAGGGAAATAGCTCTCAATTTTTTTATTTTTAATTTTTGTTTGGAATAAAGTCCTTAGTTAGCCATTGGTGTCATTTCTAAGTTGTATTTTTTTGGGGGGGTTTGTCAAGGAGTGAACAGATGCCGCAGTGTCCAGGATGCAAAAGGCAGCACACAGAACGAGATGGAGGAGGATGGCTTTTCCCTGCCTGCTCGGTCAGTGCCACCTCTTCCGGAGGACCGCCCCGGTTT